GTTTATTTAACTTATTTTTATTTAAGTTCAGTTTTCAGTTCACTATTATGTTTACTATTTTGGTTTTAGTTTTAGATTATTTTTAGTCAAGTGAATTTAGCTTACTTTAGTTTACGTTTTTTAGTTATTTATTTTTTAATTAACCGTTGCATACCGGTACATAAATGGATAGCAAAGCCAATTCAAAACTTACCAGCTGTGCCTTTTCCCCCAATAATCATCTACTACAGTTACTTCAGGTAGGAGATAGACTTGGAAATGCTTCTGTCATGACTGCGCAGCAGCCTCTAGGTGTAGTGAATCAATTTTACGTCGATAAGCTCTCGACTAATTTAACTGAGCAGTTATGTTTCCGAATTTCAGTTTCTGTCCTAATAAAATTGTCGTCTTTTTAGGTTTTGCAGAAGTCGATGATGAAGGTGAAGATCCTTTTGATGCCATCCGGGCTGAGTACGAAAGTCGGTACAGCCGCCCCACCGTCAACACACATCATCGGCTGTCAGCCACTTCCTCGGCAGCCAACGTTGAGCGAGAGCGTCGGCAGTTCTTCCAGCGTCATGCTGAGGGTCTGAGGAAGCGTGGTTTTCTCTTCACACCAACACCTCCACGCAAATCACAACTGTCGGACTTCCTGTCGCAATGGCAGGCCTTCCTCGCGGATCAAGAACCCCTGACACTGTGCAACCTGAGTCATATTCCCTGGCTGCCAGTTCCGGAGGGAGATGTACCGGATCTGCTCAGATTTGTCGGACACAACTTTGCCTCCCTTAGACAACTCCAAGTGGACTGGCATCCAGATAGGTTTTTCTCACGCCTCGCCCTCCGGCTGACCAGTGAGGAGGTTCGACAGGCACTGACTGATAGAGTAAATGCGACCTCCCAGCTGCTCAATGAGGGCATCGCCGAACTCCGGCGTCTCAGGGTTGACACGAAAACTGCACCGAGTTCATAAACACCTCCGGTGCATGTATTCGTGCATGTATGCCTATGATTTTTATAACTATCTACAATGTTGATGTTAATGTACGTCCATGTTATTTTGTATTAACTATCATAAAAATATGACGTTTGTGGAGCACTGAGGTACATTTTAATATCACCGCTAACCCCTACTGGACTAACGGGGAGCGCGT